CTATAAATTTAACCCTAAGCCTAAACCTAATTCTAAGCCTAAGCCTAAACCTAACCCTAAACTTAAACCTAATTCTAAACATAATCTTAACTTTAACCCCAACCTCAACCCTAACCCTAATCTCAATCCGAACCCTAGCCTCAACCCTAACCTTAAACTTAACCCTTAACCTTAAATTTAACGCTAACCTTAAACCTGACCCTAACCTTAACCCTAAACTTAACCTTAATCGTAACCCCAACGGGAACCTTAACCGTAGCCCGTAACCATAGCCCTAACCCTAAACCTAATCGCAACCGTAATACTGAAACCCAGTCGTAAAGTCCAACCTTAACCGTAACCCAGAAACCTAACGCTGAAGTGTTAACCCTAACCCGAAAATCGGAAAACCGTAAACGTGAACCCTAATCCTAACCTCAACCGCAAAACGAAAGCCAAATGTTCTAACCCTAACCAAGACAACCATAAACCCATAAACCCCAGTGCCGAGCCCCAACCCTAAAGCCAAACCGTAATCGGAAACCTAAACCCTAACCCGAAGACTGAAACCTGACCCTAAAACGTAAACCCTAATCCTGAAACTTAACCTAAGACTAACCCTAACCCTCACTAAAACCCAACAGCCTGACCGAAACGGTCGATCTGTCTAACTCAGTAGAAGCACACCTACCGATAACAAGTTCCCCAGACAAGGTAAGCACACCTACTGATAACCAGTAAGTACGTCGACAGTATCAACGTATAATGTCCATCTACCAACTGCGATATTACCGGAGTTTCGTATTCATGAAATAGGGAGGAAGAGGAGAAGAAGAGGAAGAAGAAGAAGGGAGAAAAGCAGGGGGATAGAAATGGAGCGCAGAGTCGTATTTAAGTGACCGAGGCAGCATTCCTATCGGATTTTAATGACCAGCAATGCAATCCCAAATAAAAAAAAACATGATTCCAGTCCTCCCCAAGGAAATTTCGAGGAGATATACAGGCTAATTCTTCAGTTCATGCATAGATCCTTTTGTGATAAAACGCCATAAATACATAACAATTGCAGGTGGCGAAGCCACAATACGCAGTGGAACGCATTGCCAACAACAGACCGCATCGCGCCGGACCTGGGTGTTAACACCACTTATTGTTTCGACGCCTAAAGTAAACAACTGCGTCGTGCGGAAAATAGATGAATTAAGAAGGCATGACAAACAGAAGCAGTATGAGCAGATTGAAAAGCAGAAACAGATCCTGGAGTGAAGCTGGGACAGACTATGTAACGCTGCGAGTGGTTGGAAGAACCGCCGTTGGTGGGTTCAGACATCGTACCTCGCCGATATGGCCATTCAGATCTGATATAATCAGTTCTTTTGCGATCGATGGACGAGAAGTTTCTCGTTTTAGAAACTTCTTCAAATGTAGGGAGACGCTGGTATTCAGCGGGGGTTCATCGATTCAAAGGCGACTTGCTATCTTGCAGCTTCTGCAGATTTAGATGGTTAGTAAGATAAACTCCAGGCAGATCAAAGTGGTAGAAAGGGCTGAAAATGGTTATCGACGAAGTAGGGGAGACGGAATTGACCATTTACAGCTTATTTTCCGCCATACCCCAAGTCTGGTCATTTGTGCACCTGTTTTTGAAGATCTCCACATCGGACTTCTCAGAGATCGTGAATGATGTACTTTCTGAAGTTGGGTAGGATGTCTACGAACCACATTAATTTTCCTCAAGGCGTTGGCGTCCCACTAGACTACGGCAAAGTACTTGGACAGTAGTTTTGCAGGCAGTCAATTATCCTTATCTAGTATATGACTGCGACCAGCTTCATTCAGTAGTAGCAATAGCACGTAAAAATGCTCGCGGGAGTCGTTTGAGAGCTGGCAAGAGGATTGGGTGTTGTAGTAAGCAGACAGGAAGTGCACGCAAAGAAGATAATCCCCATGTCATCATTTTTTTCAGGCAACACTAGACATGCCGTGGTATTGATTATTTCCGGATGTTGCATTAAAGACGCTACGTCAGCAGTTGTTTGCATGCCTTTTCACCATAGTCATGCCGGCGAGATTTTGTGATGGCCGTTCTGATACGGTGTGCTTGCAACGGCTTCGGAAGTTGCGCGTCGGAGGGGAATGCCCTTTATTCCTACCGGCACTGCCCCATTCCTCTCCCTACGTAGTAAAGGCCTTTGGGCAGCACCTCCGTTACAGCACAGCCATCTATTAGGTCAGTCACACACTTCTTTACAGGACTGCATAGCGTGCCTGAAATCAGTCCATCTTTGCTACTGGGCCGCAGTTACCGCCTCATATACCTCACTGCGTCTCCTACAGGTAACCGCATCTACAACAGTCTAATTTCCCGATCGTTGTCTAGAATGTAGACAACGTTGTCTAGAATATCAGCAGAGTGCGGCGGCTCTCTCGCGGCGCCTGTCTTTGTTTTACGTGAATCGTCCCCACCTTTGTGACAGACCGGACCTTGTGTACTTACTTAGTGACAAAGGTGGCAATGCTGACAGGCTTTTGCTACCAGTTTGGCCCTGACAATCCGGTCGGCCAGAGTGCTGATTGTGTCTCTTTTTGGTAGAATGGGTGACGATTTGTGAAACCGCAGAGCTATCACGAGTATAATGGTTCCTTCAGTCTCTCCTCTGCTGTCCGGTAGCCTATCTTGGGACGTTTTGGTGAAATTTAACTTGAGCGACCTACACCTTGTCAGGACTCACTACTTCTGATTTGAAAAGCAGAATGAATAATCTTTTACACCGGGGTTTATCTAAAGATGACGGAAATTAGCTTTTTCCACGTTGTACTCAAACGGAGCCCGTTGAGCGTGTGATATATGTTTGACGGAGGGGGAAGAGGGACTTTAGAAAATGTTAGCCAAGAGGTCTACTCTCCTCCCGTTATAGAGGATCAGAGGGACTGATCGAACGCGCATGCAGCGTTTGGTATCCTCATCAAGGGATCGACTGGAATGACTTTTCAATTTAACCACTAGGGCAAACCTCTCTGGCGGGAGTTCCGAAATCCTACTTTGAATCTGGTTCCCCGGTGTGTTGATGAAACCGTGCGTGTGCGGTATGTGTGGATGTGGGTACTGTGGCGAATTTCGCAGTGTCGACGCACCCAGCACACTCTCTACACCCACCCTGTCTAGCCCACGAAAACCCCGTCGTCCAGCGCGTCCATAATCAGCACTTCAAGTACCACCACAATTACCATTGGAACCGATTCTGGAGCTCCCGATCTAACCTTGCCCACACTGTCTCCGCATCTTCACCTCGCATACCTGCCTGGTCGGTCACCCACGAATCCATTGCACGGAGACTGGCGAACCAGTGCCTGGAGCACCAACATACACCAGGCGTACTCGATACAACTGCAAGAACTGCCCCCACCCATACGGCCCCCACATGGACCATACTTGGGCACATTACATTCATGCCAAAGAATTACACCTCTACCCACCAGAACCTGCAACACACATAAATATCACCCATCATTACACAACGGAAGCATGTAATCGACACCATTCACGCAAGTGGGAACTATGCACCTCGGCTCCTTCTTCATGTGACCCATCTGCTGCATGTGTGATCCGAGCATGAGACTGTTACGGTGCGCCAAACGCCTGGGCTTGGAAGGCTGCCAAATGACGCCTCAACACAGTCCGCGCAGACTGCCCAGTTGTGTGTGTGTGTGTGTGTCGACCGGGGGGTGCGGAGTGGAGCGCCAAGGTGAGGATCCGTCCGAGCCATCCGAGCGCAAGTCTACTGGCACTATAAACCCCTGCGCAAGTCACCGTCCCTGCTCCCACAGCTGCTGCAGCTGTGGGGCACACGGTGGACATCGTCGAAGTCGACGGTCGAACTGTCGCGCGCGTGCGTGTGTGTGCGTGTGAAAAGGCGAACTGGTGGGATGGGCGGCGGGCTGAAACAGCACCTTCCACGGCCCTCTCACACAATTGAGAGACACGCCGTTCAATCCCCGTTGTGTGAAATCCTGGGGGCCAGGTCACGCTCCTGGCGTGCGCAGTCATGGTCAGTCGACCATGACAACCACCGCGCCCATCTCCCACTCCAGTCCGCTGACCGCCTCGACCGGCGGGCTAAACCAGGTGAGGGCGGTTACCCCCTGTGCGCGTTGTTCCACGTGCACCGTCGTGACGAGGCTCCGTCCGGTACGCCGCTGGTCAGCCGGTTGATGGAACGTCGCATCGGCATAGACTAGACGAGGCTCAGCCTGGTACGCCGTTAGTCAGCCGGTGACGCGATAAATATTCTAATCGGCATCGCCGACACGCGTCCATCTGGTGCACCGCAGGAGACCGCGGGCTTACGGCGATGTCGTAAGGATCAGCAAATTCGAGTTGTTCTTCCACTGTCAAACAAAGTCGTGGCCCACAGTGGAGTTCGGCCGCGCTGGCACATCAAGCAGCCCTACTCAGGGACCAAGCACTGCTTCCCTTCGGAGGGGGCCTGGAAACGCTGGCCAAAAATTGCTAGGGAACCACGTCGTCTGCAGGCGCACCGTGGCCGCAGACGCAAAACTCACGGTCGAAACAACCAAAATCGACATAAAAACACCAACAACAACAACAACCATACTCATTCTCCTCATCCTACCTCTTCTTCCTCATCCTCTGCCTATACTTCTCCTTCGTCATCTTCTCCTCCACCTCCTTCCCGCCGACCTACTCGTCGCCGCCCCCAGACTGGCAGGGTGAGTCCGCTCACTCTGGCAGCCTGGAATGTTCGTTCCCTTTTAGACAATCCACGGATCAACCAACCGGAACGGAGGACGGCGTTAGTGGCCCGGAAACTGGCACGCAACAAGGTGTATCGCCGCACTCAGCGACACCCAATTCTCCGAACAAAGGCAACTGAAGGAGGTGGGTGGCGGCTACACATTCTTCTGGAGTGGTCGTCCCAAGCCATAGCGACGAGACGCGGGTGCCGCCTTCGTCATCCGGAACGACATCGTGGGACGACAGCCCTGTTTGCCGCAGGGCATCAACGATCGCCTGATGAGCCTCCGTCTGCCTCTCCGGCGGGGGTGGGGGGGGGGGCAAATTCGCCACCATCATCAGCGCCTACTCTCCGCCGATGAGCAGTCCCGACGCCGACGCAAGAGACAAAATCTACGAGGACCTGCACGCCCTCTTGGCGTCTGTGTCGAATGCGGACAAGTTGATTGTCCTTGGTGATTTCAACGCCCGCGTTGGCACAGACCACACTGCCTGGAGAGGAGTGTTGGGTCCCCATGGTCTCCGCGGCTCCAACGACTATGGACTGATGCTCCTGCGCACCTGAGCAGAACACCGCTTCATCCTGACGAACACGTTCTTCTGTCTGCCGGAGCGAGAGAAGGCTACCTGGAGGCATCCTTGATAGCGTCATCGGCATATGCTGGACTATGTCCTCGTCCGGAGGCGAGATCAGCGGGACGTGCTGGTGACGAAGGCGATCGCGGGCGCTGACGGGTGGACCGACCATCGCCTCGTCATCTCGAAGAGGCGTATTCGCCTAGAGTCTTGCAGGAGACCACAAGGTAAGCGACCCCTAGGTAAGCTGAATACTGCCTTGTTGTCTTTGCCCGCTCACCATCTTCATTTCAGCAATGAGCTAGCTCAACGGTTAGACAACCTTCCCATCGCTGCCGCCGACGACGCCGCCGCTGCCGAGAACGGCTCCGTGGAGAACCGCTGGTGTCAACTGCGAGACACGGTCCAGTCGACGGCGCTAGCCGTCCTCGGTCGCGCTCCCCGCCAACATCAGGACTGGTTCGACGACAACGACGCCGCTATCAGAAATCTGCTTGCTGAGAAGAACCGCCTCCACAAAGCCTACGTAGACTACCCCACTGATGACAACAAAGCTGCTTACTACCGCAGTCGCCGCCACCTCCAGCAAAGAATGTGCGAGATGCAGGACGCCTGGACTTCTCGCAAAGCTGAGGAGATCCAAGGGTGCACGGATCGCAACGAATGGAAGAACTTCTCCGCGATCAAAGCTGTCTACGGTCCGCCGACGAAAGGCACTGCTCCTCTCCTCAGCGCCGACGGTAGTACCCTCCTGACAGAGAACACACAAATTCTACAGCGATTGGCCGAGCATTTCCGAGGCGTCCTCAAACGCCACTCCGCCATCTTCGACGGCACCATCGCTCGTTTGCCGCAAGTGGAGACCAACGTGGACTTCGACCTCCCGCCATCTCTCCAGGAGACCATCAGGGCCGTGCAGCAGCTCTCCAGCAGGAAAGTACCCGGACCGGACGCAATCCCTGATGAGGTCTACAAGCACAGAGGTCCCCCACTGATGGATCACCTGACTGCGCTCTTCCAGGAGATGTGGCGTCAAGGTGAAGTCCTGCAAAGTTTCAAAGACCTAACCATCGTGCATCTCTACAAGCGAAAAGGGAATTGCCAAGTTTGCGACAATCACCTTGGCATCTCCTTGCTGAACATCGGGGGGAAGATCTTCGCTCGCATCCTTATCAACCGCCTCAATAACCATCTCGAACAGGGCCTTTTGCCTGAAAGCCAATGCGGCTTCCGTCGTCACCGAGGGACCACGGATATGATCTTCGCAGCCCGTCAACTTCAGGAGAAGTGCCAGGAGATGCGGACTCATCTGTACTCTACCTTCGTGGACCTGACGAAAGCCTTCGACACGGTGAATCTTGAAGGACTGTGGAAGATCATGCAGAAATTCGGCAGTCCGGAGCGATTCATTCAGATGGAGCATCAGCTGCACGACGGTGTGATGGCGCGAGTCACGGACAACGGAGCTATCTCAGAGGCATTCGCAGTGATCAACGGAGTGAAGCAGGGATGCGTGCTGGCGCCTACCCTCTTCAGTCTTATGTTATCTGCCATGCTGATGGACGCCTACCGTGATGATCGCCCCGGGATCCGCATCGCCTACAGGACGGACGGTCACCTCCTGAATCAACGGCGGGTGCACTTCCAATCGCGCGTATTGTAGTGGTCAAGGACGTGAGATCAACTTAAATCACATACAATAGTTTTGCTCCGTCGAGGGACAGAAGCCAGGAAGTTGTGAGGACGGGTTTATTCTGTACACAGGACAGGTCGCCGTAAATTAGCTGTATGCTTGTGGCAGAGATAAGCGTTCGTTCTGGAGAGCGTCAGTTGCGGAGCCTTCAGTGTGTCGCTACCACCAAAAAAGTTGTGTCCTTCTTGCCTCTGTCCTGTCTGTTCAAAATCACGTCCGCAAGGGCGGCGTCCCGTGTGTGCACTTGTGGCCAATCAGCGATAGGAAGTTGCGTTGATTGGCTCCGAGCCCACGCGAAGGTGGTGGCAAGCCTCGCATGGTGCAGGCAGAGAATCGACCAAATGCGCTGCTGCAGACTGTGAATTGCAACGAGACAAATCGAAGCCGGGCAGACGTGCGTGCCATAGCAGGTTGTCGCTAGAACGTAGATGCAGGCGCTAGCGAGAGGCGCGACGTAGCCATTATGGCTATCCACTACAGTATTCACAACTACCGTTCACGAACTTCTCTTCGCCGACGACTGCGCCCTGAACAACATCTCGGTAGAGGAGATGAAACGGAGCATGGACCTGTTCTCGGCCGCCTGCGAGAACTTCAGTCTGGTCATCAACACGCAGAAGACGGTGGTCATGCATCAACCGGAACCCAACACAGCCAATCCTCCCGACGCGCCGCCGCAAAACAGCGTAAACGGAAACCAATTGCAAGTGGTGGAGAACTTCCCGTACCTGGGCAGTACCGTCTCCCGCAACACCAAAATCGATGACGAAGTCGCTCGCAGGATCTCGAAAGCCAGTCAAGCCTTCGGCCGCCTCCAAAGCACAGTTTTGAATCGTCACGGTCTCCAACTGAGCACGAAGCTGAAGATGTACAAGGCTGTCATCCTGCCGACGCTGCTGTACGGAGCGAAGACTTGGACGGGAATCCTCAGCATCTACACCATGCTGAGACAAATGCAGCTGCGTTGGAGCGGCCACCTGGTGCGCATGGACGACGAGCGACTACCTAAACGACTCTTCTACGGAGACGTCGCGACGGGTTCTCGTCGTCAAGGAGGCCAAATTCGCCGTTACAAGGATACACTGAAGTCCTCCCTGAAGCGTCTGAAAATCAACACGACCAACTGGGAAGAGCTCGCCCTCGACCGACTGACCTGGAGGAGGACAGTGAAAACAGACGCTGCAATCTACGAAGCCAACCGCATCGCTGCCGCCAAAGTGAAACGCGTAGCAGGCAAATCCCAACTACGCCCAATATGCAACACCAACGCACAACCGCTTTCAACGTGTCCTCGATGTCAACGGAAATTCCGGGCGCGAATTGGCCTTGTTGGACACCCTTGGATCAACTGCACCTCTCGGACCGCACCAACAGACGTCCCTCCGTCCGCCTCTGACTACTCTATTGACACGCCATCTCTATCCTCCTCCTCCTCCTCCTCCTCCTCCTCCTCCTCCTCCACTGCCCAATCTACGGCCACTCTGGCGGCTGCCATGCACGACAACACCGCACACAACCCTGTCACCACAACAGACACCACCCATCCAACCCCCGACTACAGAAGTGAGGACCAGGACTACACATGCCCTCACTGCGACCTCACCTTCACCTTACACATCGGCCTGGTCAGCCACTTGCGAATCCATCGCACAGAGACTGGCGAACCAGTGCCCGGAGCACCAACCTAATCCCGCCCTCGGTTCCACTGCCCACGTACCCTCACGCATCGCATGGGTCTATCTGGACACATGCGCATCCACGAGAGCGGAATTGACCGCTCTCCCGACTCACCCATTACGCCAAACCCCACTGCTACTTCATCACCCAAAGAGCGCACCACCGTCATCGCGGCTGACACCGCCACCGCCGACTTCACCTGCCCACACTGTCCACGCACATTCACCTCTCGCATCGGCCTGGTCGGCCACTTGCGAATCCATCTCACAGAGACTGGCGAACCAGTGTCTGGAGCCCCAACCTATACCCACCACGCTCGACTCAACTGCCCACGCTGCCCTCGCACTTTCAGGCATCGCATGGGCCTATTAGGCCACATGCACATCCACGAGAGCGGAATTGACCGCAATTCCGACACACCCACCACATCCATCCCATCCAACATGCCCAACCCCATCCTCGCTCCATTGCCCTGCGCGCCCATCACCACCGCCTCCTCTGTAGCTGACACCGACACAATCGACTTCTCATGCCCACACTGTCCGCGCACATTCACCTCACACACCCGCCTGGTTGGTCACCCACGAAGACTGGCGAACCAGTGTCTGGAGCAACAACATACACCAGACGCACTCCATTCAACTGCCTGCACTGCCCGCACACATACGGCCCTCTATGGGTCTGCTTGACCACATCGCATCCATTAAAACATACGATAGACAACCGCCGTCTATGCCAAAGCACCACACCACTACCCACCAGCGCCTGCAGCACACATCAGCACCCACAATTACCCAACACAAGCACGTAATTTACACCTCTCACGAAAGTAGGCAGTATGCACGTCGGCTCCTTCTTCATGTGGCTCCTCTGCTGCATATGTGATCCGAGCATGAGACTGTTACGGTGTGCCAGACGCCTGGACTTGGAGGCTGCCAGCTGACGCCTCAACACAGTCCGTGCAGACTGCCCAGTTTTGCGTGTTTGTGCGGAGGGGCGGACTGGTGGGTAGAGAGTCAGGCTGGCAGGCGTTATCGGGAATGTGCACCCATAACGAATGCCAATATTCGGGGTGCGATGACAGACCCAGTTGCAGGCCCACGTCTACTGCCAGTTCGGATCCCTGTAGTCCTCGATTTTTTTGTTGCTGGTTAAAATCCAGGTCAAGTGTTTATTGTGGACCAGGGGGTGTGGAGTGGCACTCTAGATGCGGGTCCGGTTGCGCCCTCCACCTGCTCCCTCCCTCCATCCCTCCCTCACCTTAGACCTTCTTGACTACGACTTGACACCCGGACCAGGTTGAGGGTAGGGGGGGGGGCGAGAGCGAAGAGTGCGGTCGGTACTGCGCAAGTCTACTAGCATTATAAACTAATTCACACACAAGTCGTCATGACTGATCCCACCCTGCTGTAGGCGCACGACGGACATCGTCGACAACGATGGTCGAACTGTCATAAGTTGCGGTTGAAGCAGTGCGATTGGTCTGCACTGAGACAAGAGCAGAATGCCGCAGTGTCATCACTTGCCGAACATTTGATGGATCCCGTCATCAAATTTAATTTCACCGGCATCTTCTGGGAGTGCAGAAAATGCATCCTTCAGATGTAGGAGTCCCGACATTGAGAGGCAAAATAAGCGTCTTTTCAATCTCTTGCTCTCATGTCAAGCTTTACGCAGATAACTTTAAAAGGCAAACAAACGACTCTCCGGTCAAATCCGGATAGAAACCTGGCACAGTTTTGACTTCTAAGATGCAACCGTCTTAGGCCGCGGCATCTCAAGAGCAGAACGTCTTAAACCCGAGACTTGGTACTCCGATACCAACTTCATCAACGTGCGTCTAGACACTCCTGCAGCCTATAAATCCTACGTCAGTGCATGCGCCATGACCCGGGCAAGGCGGTCCCATGGAGATTTAGAATAAACAGCAAACACGGCCCGTCGACTAGCTTACTCAGAAGGGGGGGCACAAACGAAACCAACCCCAATTTCGGTGGCAACACACGACACAGGATGGCCAGAGGGCTAAGGCAGCCAAAGAAGATAAAAATCGATCAACCTAAGGCCAACTAGATCGGCCGTCTATTCAAAATTCTGGTCGATTTTTGCACTAAATGCTCTGGTAATGCAGATCCCGGCAATCTCACAGAACCGTCAACCACACAATTCCCTTGATCCGGAGAGGATTCATTCATCTCAGAGGAAGGCGTGCTCGCTAAGAAGGACATAGGCCAAATTTTGGGAAACGCCAATAGGATGTAAGGAATGCAAATTATTAGAACCCACACTCGGCGATGGTAGTTGGCATCAAGACTGTCTTAGCGTCGTTTTCTGCACCCCGAACCTCCTACAAACATCCTGCTCCGATCCTTTCCACAGAAGACTGCCAGACCAAGGAGGAGTGCTCCGAAGTACTGCAGGCTTCCGTAGTGAACGAACTGGTTTGACCGCAGGTGAGGACGTCACGGTGGGAGACTGGACTGGATGACTTCCTGTGAGACTAGTGCTACGTCAATGCAGTAGACGTAATCGGTTCACAGGATGCTACCGCGGAGGAAGCTTCTCAACCTCTGCTGCCACCGCTTCCGTGTCTGTAAGAGGAAGAGACACAACTGCCTCAATGCCATAGCCTTCTGAACGTCACTAAAAACAGTCCACATCAGCTTGGAACAGTGTCACTTACTCTGGTCGTTGTAGCAGACTTTCCCAGATGCACCTCTATAAGGAACGAAAGTGAACCCAGCTAACAGTAAGGTGTGCCCGCTATGAAGGACATGAGCAAAATAATGAGAAAAGGGACCAGGATGTAGGGAATGAAAACTGGTAGAACTCACCCTCGGCGATGCCATTTTGCAGCAGGACTGGCCCAAAGGAGTCTTCGGCACTCTTGTACTCCTGCAATCTCCCCAGTTCAAGCATCTCCACTGAAGCCTGCCTGGCCAAAGCGGAGTGCTCCGAAGTACAGCAGGTTTCAGTGACGGAGGAATTGGTTTTGCCACATGTGCAGATATCTGAATTGTTAGACGTCCTGTGAGACAGGGCCTGAGCCAATGTGGTAGGCGCAATCGCATCGCAGAATACCACTTGACGAACCCTGGTCTCGAGGATAATTTTTGGCGTACTAAAGTAGCAGAAGACATTCAAAATCATGTTTTGCGGTCACATGGTGCAGGATGAAGTGACTACTTGAAATGAATCAGAGGGCGATTTACCTGGTAATCAGTAGGTCACTTAATTCCTGCGTTTTCGATGTAGTCCAAACCAATTCCTCCAGTGGACATGAACAAGGCGCTGGAATGAGCTGGACGAGAGATGAAGATTGGAAATGGCAGCCGAGGAATGGGCAAAGTAAGCTACGACGGCGGCGGTGGTCCGATGCAGGCCGACTCTCCGAAGTCCGCGGTATCATTGATGATGTCGTCATTAATTTCTGTCCTGTTGCCGCTGCTGTAGTTTTGCAGTGTGAAGACGATGTCACGGAGGGCGTACATGATGAGACACATGGGCGGGTTGGAGATGGATGAAGTGTGACCTTGAGGCAATAGATGCATCGTCAGGGAAGTCGATTGACGTGGAAGTGGAGAAGGATGAGAATGGTAAAGAGCAAGATTGTGTGGGAATGGGGAAGAAGGAATCAGATTCGGATGTAGACTCATCACCGCAGATGACAGCATTGGCAGGTGACCGAGATGGTGGGTTAGAAGGTGTGCAAATATTGGAGGGAGCATGCGGAGAACGCGAAATGGGGGAGAGGAAGTACATTAAAGTAACGAAATAACGATCCTCAGGAAGGTCGACGAGGCCGCAGCAGAGAACATTGATTGACGATGTCAGTCCATGGCGGAAATAGGGTGGGGGTTGGGAGTGGGAAGTGTCGGTTGTCAAGTGCAGGGGAGTGTGTCTGACTTCTAGAAGACCGTGAGCGTCAAAAGACGAAGCCTTCGTCAAGGAATACGGATCATATGGGGAGATTGCAGAGGTATGGGAGGGTGTGGTTGCCGCCATCTCCTCCATTGGCAGTTGTGTAACCTCAAGGATGTCCTCGACGTCCGACCAACGTGGCTTCGTTGAAGAATGCGGAGCAGAGAGGGAGTGTGGAGAGGCATGTGAGGGTGTGGTTGCCGCCGTCTTCTCCTTCGGCAGTGGTGTGACCTCAAGGATGTCCTCGACGTCCGACCAACGTGCCTTCGTTGAGGAATGCGGAGTACTGTGTGAATGTGCGGAGGGATGGAAGTGGTCGCAGGTGACCTGCGCATTTGGGGGTTCGGCCCATACTATTGTTTCTGCCACAGGGCTCTTTCTCGAGGAGTGACAATTTTGACATTGCTTTTTTCTCCTTTTCTCTGCTTCCAATTTTCCTTCTGCAAATCGGATATACATTATGTTTGTTGACTGTAATCTTCGAATTTGTAAATCACTCGTAATTCAATCGTCTTCTTTTACCAGGGCACCTATGCTGACAAAAGCCTAAGCTGCATTTCCGCTGACATATTCTGGCATAAGCAAGAGATTGTGGCTTTTTAATCGTCTCACAATCTATCTACGAACTTGGAGTAGATCAGTTTGTTCAAGGTCCATATGCTCAGATCGAGAATTTTATGTATTAATATTTGGGCCGAAATCTATCAGTCACGACAGATAACCGCGGAATTGTGATTAACTGCCGACAGGCAGCTAACAGGATACGCAAGTGTAAGGTGGTACCATACAACAGCGCCGGTACAATCCAAAAGCGCATACACGCGTATTTCGCTGATATTCTGCCGCTGCATAATGCAGCTACGAGAGGTTCGGCTGATGGACTTCGGCCAAAATATTCATCCACAAATATTCTCGGTCTGAGCTATAGACCTTGAATAAACTGAACTCCTCCAA